AGGCTACCTCGGCTTCCTCTAGTGATCGTTCTCTACGCTGGTGAAGAGGCTTCTAAGTCTGCCCTTGGAGTTTCTACCTCAGCTCCTTTAGTGTAGGCTCAGGCTCCTTTAGCTTTGCCTCCTATCCCCTTTATCCAGTCAAGGAAGAGGAAGTCTAAGCCAATTCTGCCTTCTACTCGTAGGAGGAAAACCCGTCCTGACAAATTCGACCTGACTTGTTGTGCGGAGGCGACACCCAATTGTCTCGATGATGAGGATTTGGAGGAGCTGAGGTGAGAGTATCATTTTCCTGATTCTGTTTCCTTGCATGCTCTCAAGGAGCGTGAGAGGTGCAATTCCTCTGTTCCCGGGTTAACCTGTTTCTTTGAATCTGCATTTTAGGCCGATTTTTGGTTCCTAGTTCACCTTTTCATTTGAAATGTGCTTGGTTTTTACAACGTCTGCCTAGCCCGACTTTCCCCGAACGGCTGGGGCCTTTTAGTCGATTTCCTCGTTCATTGGTTTGAGAGTGGGAACAACTCCCTTCCCTCCATTAGAGTTTTCTTATCTCTGCTAACTTAAGTCTTCTCCTTCTTTGGGTTTTTTGTATTTTGCCAAAAGAGTGAAGGCAAAGAACCTGGTTTATGGGCTCCCCTCCTCCAACAAGGGGTGGAAGCCAAGGTTTTTCTTTGTTAGGGGTANTTCTAACTTAAGTCTTCTCCTTCTTTGGGCTTTTTTTATTTTGCCAAAAGAGTGAAGGCAAAGAACCTGGTTTCTGGGCTCCCCTCCTCCAACAAGGGGTGGAAGCCAAGGTTTTTCTTTGTTAGGGGTAATTCCTTGGGGAGCTGTGAGGAGAACCTGGCGACGTTCCTCGCATCCCCAGGTTTTGGGGGGTTCCGGGGAATACCAGTAAGGCTAATTGATTATCTGTGCTTTCCTTTCTTTTTTGTTGTTTTTATGTCTTGCTAATTTTTGATCTGACTTTCAGGTTTTTGCTCGACACTTAACGCGGAGGAGGCTTCTAGGGTCGCTATAGCCGAGGCCTTTGGACCGCAATCCTTCTTTAACCTGGTGACCGATGAGAACCTTGCTAAGTACGAGCTCGGGCCAAGCAAGGCTCTTGCTAATTGCTAATGCACGAGTTTGCAATTTTCATTTTTTTTGTCATTTTGTGCCTTCAGGTACGGATAATTACTAGTATATATATATATGAGACAAAGGATAATGTCAATAATGAAATGGACACAGAAAGGAGCCACCTTCCAAGAAACAAGAATAAATTTGCATAAATGGTCCACTTCTCTTTGTACATTAGTACATCATCATAACATAAACTTGTTCTATACCACCAACCGATCACCCATATGATATGCATGTTCACTTTTTTAATTGATTAATTACTTAATCTTTTGAAATANCTACCTTCCAAGAAACAAGAATAAATTTGCATAAATGGTCCACTTCTCTTTGTATATTAGTACATCATCATAACATAAACTTGTTCTATACCACCAACCGATCACCCATATGATATGCATGTTCACTTTTTTAATTGATTAATTACTTAATCTTTTGAAATAAGAAAACATTATTTCTATTATATGGTTTTTTTTCATATTTTTTCTCATTAAAGACAGAGATTAAAGTGCAGACCTAAGCGTGATATGATTTCGCCATTTTAAGCTTTAAATGATAGGTGCAGTAGGACGAGATTGTCATCATTGAACTCACTCCATAGACAACAAGAGAAAGGGAATCAAGAAACTAATGTGGATCGTCCATCTTCAAGACTATCAGCATAGTCAGCATCTGAATAGGTTGTAAGAAATCCTTAGGGGTGATTTAGTGGTTAGGCTTGACTTTTAGTAATTCAGATATTTCAAGTTCAATTTTTTCTTACACTTCTTAAGGGCTAACCACCATTATCCCTTTAGGGACATGTTCTAGACTAGCTCTAGCCACGGGGGCTAACCACTGATCTCAAAAGAGTAGTTGACGCAAGCCTGAATATCCCGTAAGAGAGAGAGAGAGAGAGAAAAGAAGAAGAATAAACCATAAGACGAAGACAACTAGGTTAAAATAATAAGTGACCATGATAAAAAATACTCTTGAGATTGCGTCANCTGTGAGAAATGTGGCAAAATGATAAGAAACATCGCTTGATAATGGTTAAATTTCATACTCGTTTGTGCATAATTCAATGTTTTAAGTATGGGTAATTATATTTTACCTTGAACTATTACCCTTATTTACTTTGTACCATCAACTATAAAATTTCTCATACTACACTCTAAAGTATCAATTTTATTTCATATCAATATATAATGACTGTCATTTTTTTGACGGATTAAAAGGATAAACTTGAAAATCTATTAAAAGAGAGAGTGAAACTCCAAAGTTTTCCATCAAGTGTTTAGTACCATTTTATTTTAAGCAATTCTATTGAAATCTAATTTATTGACATAATTTATTAACCTAATTCACTATATACCCATCAAATATTAGAACTTAGTGTTGATTCAATAATTCCTATGAAACAATATTATTATGTCAACAAATTAGATCAGATTTTTAGANTTCACTATATACCCATCAAATATTAGAACTTAGTGTTGATTCAATAATTCCTATGAAACAATATTATTATGTCAACAAATTAGATCAGATTTTTAGATCCAAATAGTATTACTTTTTTATTTTACCTTTTTTGCAGCCAAATATGATTGCTGAGAAGGAAAAAAAAAAGGTTGGCAAGATGAAAAAAATGTAGAGCTTATGAATGGATAAATATTTTTTTTGATTTTTAACCTATATATGTGCAATAGACAGTTATTTATCGGCAGCACATAACACACTCACATGCACATTATTGTTAAAAAATTGATACCCATTATTTATTGGAGTAATATGAAACAAAATTGATACTTTAGAGTGTAATGTTAATTTTTTATAGTTGATGGTATAAAGTGAAATAAAGGTAATAGTTTAAGGGGATAAAATGTAATTTACTATTTAGCATTCCGATTCTGCATACCTCAATTGGGCTGAACTGAAATACATTTGTTGCTGAGTACAAGGGGCCCAAGATGAAGGTGGTTGGAGGATTGCTGGGTCCATCATCATATGTATAACGACTATCGAGTATAAATTCTCGTCTCCTGAATGACTTTGACAAAGAATCGAAGTAATTAGCCATGAGAATTAGTTAATGTACAAAGGGGTCCGATTATACCATGGCAAGTAGTGGGATGACAATTGAGTCATGTCGAGTTCGTATTAATGTAATGTCAAAATTACGGCCCTCAATAGTGAGTAACTTTTTTTTTTTTTTTTNCTGTCGAGTATAGATTCTTGTCTCCTGAATGACTTTGACAAAGAATAGAAGTAATTGGCCACGAGAATAAGTTAATGTACAGAGGTGTCCGGTTATGCCATGGCAAGTAATGGGATGACAATTTGAGTCGTGTTGAGTTTGTATTAGTGTAATGTCAAAATTACAGTCCCCAATAGTAAGTAACTTTTTTTTGTTGTCATACAAGTTAACCTTACGATGACTACTAACATATCGTCATTACAATGTCTTGCAGTGTGCTTCCCTACAAAAAAATAAGATGAGAAGTACGAAACACTGAAATTCCCCTGAAATCACATTGTGATTCTCATATGGGGGTTAATCGAACTAAATTCTTTGAACTTTACCTACCAAATTGGATATTACAGACTCTAGTTCAGTTGTTAAGTTTCGATTTCTAGACCACATGATCAGATTATTTTTGTCCTTACAAGCTTGAATTCGAGCTCAATCTTGAGAAAATTTGAAAAATAAACATCCTATATGGTTTGCACCCGCNGGGGTTAATCGAACTGAATTCTTTGAACTTTACCTACCAATTTGGATATTACAGACTCTAGTTCAGTTGTTAAGTTTCGATTTCTAGACCACATGATCAGATTATTTTTGTCCTTACAAGCTTGAATTCGAGCTCAATCTTGAGAAAATTTGAAAAATAAACATCCTATATGGTTTGCACCCGCCATCAATTGATTATTAGAAGTAAAATGTCTTTGCCTTTAATCCTGAGGTGCAATATTGTGTTACTTTGTTCACTATTTAATATATATATCATTTTACAAATTGTCAAGCTCAACTTTACAAAAGTGTGAGTAGTACATTTTTTGAACTCAATTTGTTTTAAATAAACTGCAAAATTGGCAATTTTTTAAAACGAATTAACTTAGATGAGTTGAAACTGAGGGGAGCCCAAACGATACATTTGCTCAACATCCTTATCCACACATCTAGTCAAAATATGAGCAATTTTTTGTTTGACTATTTTTCATTTCTGTTCAACTAATTTGCTTTTGACTAAGATGTATTCAGTTTCATGCAGCCCCACCATAATGGAATAAATTTGAATTTCAAAAGTGTAAAAGTGAAACCAACTACATTTGTTATGATAGTTGCAAGAGTTTCATGAAAGGAAAATGTTATACGACCCAAATGCAACTCAAAAAATTGTAATTCAAATACATATTATCTTTTGAATGAGTAAATTCTACTGAAAAAATTGATGAGACTCACTCATCTAATGGATGATATATGCATTTGGGTTGTATATCAATAAAAACCACAATAAACCACATTTCATATCAACAAAAAAATAAAGAAAAAAATGAGTAAAAGGGCAAAAAAGCAAGGTATGCCTCTTGATTGAGGGTAGATATGTTGAGGGTTGGACCAGACATCAAGGCAGTGACAAAAACAGCAACATAAATTTTCTCTGGAAATCTCTCGATGGTAGAAGAAATAGCCAACCCTCCAAGGCTGTGACCTACCATGATGACTCTCTCATGTGAAGGAAGAGAGACCATGAAGTCCATCAATGGCTCAAAATAATCGGAGATAGAAGGAACATCTTTCACCTGTTTCGGATCGATCCCGGAAGCAGCCAAGTCAAGAGCTGTGACATTGTGGCCTGCCGATTTNGTAGAAGAAATAGCCAACCCTCCAAGGCTGTGACCTACCATGATGACTCTCTCATGTGAAGGAAGAGAGACCATGAAGGAACATCTTTCACCTGCTTTGGATCGATCCCGGAAGCAGCCAAGTCAAGAGCTGTGACATTGTGGCCTGCCGATTTTAGACGTTGCACTTGCTTGTACCAAGACCATGCACCAAGGCATGCCCCATGAATTAGCACAAAGTGCTTGCCGGATTCTGGCCGCCATGGCTTCTCGGATCTTTCTGCATTCACCATTTGGAGAGAGAAGAAAATGAGAACAAACACAAACATAACATGCTGCTTTTTTCTAATTTCCTCCATGTTTTCTTCTCCTTCTGTCTTGAAGTCATAGACACAAATAGTCAACAGATCATATCTTATACAACCTTATCAAGTTCAATTATTTTATCTTGACTATATAACTTNAATGCTTGCCGGATTCTGGCCGCCATGGCTTCTCGGATCTTTCTGCATTCACCATTTGGAGAGAGAAGAAGATGAGAACAAACACAAACATAACATGCTGCTTTTTTCTAATTTCCTCCTTGTTTTCTTCTCCTTCTGTCTTGAAGTCATAGACGCAAATAGTCAACAAATCATATCTTATACAACCTTATCAAGTTCAATTATTTTATCTTGACTATATAACTTCAGATATTAGGATGAAGGGAACTATTTTAATATTTTTTTTCATACCTTAAAAGATTAAAATTCTCATATTTTATCAGTAATTTCTTCAATTAGTATATAATAGGCCCTTGGAAGGGGCTGAAAACCTCAACTTTTTCTGGTTTTAGAAGAAAAGAAGCATGGTCTATTTGGACTCGAGCTTATTGGGTAGCTTTTTCATCAGCAACAAAAAAAAACTGAAAAATGAGGCTTATGCAAGGGCTTGCAAAGAAAAATCGACTTTTTCGAAAATACTCTAAATGGTTCTAAGAACTTTTTTGACTCTGACTTTTTCANTTTGGTTTTAGAAGAAAAGAAGCATGGTTTGTTTGGACTCGAGCTTATTGGGTAGCTTTTTCATCAGCAACAAAAAAGAACTGAAAAATGAGGCTTATGCAATGGCTTGCAAAGAAAAACCGGCTTTTTCGAAAATACTCTAAATGGTTCTAAGAACTTTTTTGACTCTGACTTTTTCATTTCATTTTTCAAACCTTTGCTTTGCACATAAAAAAGTCAGTTCAAAACGTGCCCAATGTATTCCAAAAGCACCGGCCATTTTTTTTCCTCTGCACGGAATGTGCCAAGAGAGGAGACAAAAACAAATCATCGGTNCGGCCATTTTTTTTTCCTCTGCACGGAATGTGCCAAGAGAGGAGACAAAAACAAATCATCGGTAACTTTTATGACAAATTGCTTCAATTTAAAAAATTTAGGGTGCAACGTAAAAAATGGGGTAATAAGTAAAAATTTCAAATTTTTTGGAGGACANGTAACTTTTATGACAAATTGCTTCAATTTAAAAAATTTAGGGTGCAACGTAAAAAATGGGGTAATAAGTAAAAATTTCAAATTTTTTGGAGGACAAAGTGCATTCACCCAAGATATTTACATATATTTTTAAGTTACTCCAAAGTCCAGAAATTGTTTATTTTGAATTTGACTGAGGATTCTTTCTTGGAGATTGAGTTTTCTGGGAACATGTCCAGACATGTAGATAATATCGGGGTATATTCGGAATGCCACTGTGAGGCTAAAATGAACATGGCTTTCGTCAGAAGGAGATTTGCAAAAATAAAATTAAATGTAACAATGGAATCAAATCAAATCATTTTGCATTTAGATGGTGTTATTTTAATTTTTTATTCAATAGCAGTCGACTTTTATCTAATTGTTTATCATTCATATAAGATGCCCCAACTCTAACCAAGCTTATTAGTAACACAATACCTATTCACAAGTTTTTCGTGTTAAAATCATGTTAATAATGTTTGACACTAATCAGGTTCATTTATGGTTTGTGTTTCATGTAGCATAGTAAAGTCGAACTGTAGCCCTTAATAAGTTAATGTTGAGAGATCTTCGTGTCAGATCTGTGTTGTGTTAATACATCACATAAAAAACTATGACCCCTAAGTAGAATGGGAGATAAGAAGAAAACCAACAAGCAACTTTTATTTAGTTTACAAGAAATCAAAGCTAAGACACTCTTACTGATTCTTGCACAAAGACAATTCTTCCCTTTAACCAGATTTCTGTGAGAGCCTGAAATGAGAGATTTGAATATTTTCAACATCAAGCTTCTGAAAATTACTGCATCTTCGAGTTGCAAAAAACTTCCCCCAGTTATATGCCTTATACTTGGCAAGGTTTTGATCATCTGTCAGCTCTTTCAGGGGTTCCACCATGGTGTAGTGGGCTGGGTTGAAGAAGAATGGAATGAAAAACCTGTCTTTCTCATAATTCACTATTGCCCTGTGCTCCACACTTTCATACCTTTCATTGCTTCAAACTTGTACATATGTTCACACACACCAAATGACATTGTCAACAAGACAAACCTCTCATTTTATGTATGAGTAGTCTAATAGTAGCGTGCTCAAAAAATTTTCTTCAATGAGCACCATTCATGAGTTATTGGTAATGCCAGGTGTCTAGTGTATCGAGCCTATGAAAATCGTTCCGTATAATCAAGAAATTAATACATATTTGTTAAGTTGCAAAATATTTATGATTTTATCACGTAATTACTTATTACAACAAATTTCATCATAAGGATTCCGAGTGCAAAAACCATAACAAAACAAAACAATGAGTGTGCACACGCGTGTGTGCACAGATCTCCCATAGTACTTGATTACAGAGTATAATTTAACAAATTGGAGAGGGCCATGGAAATTGAAATATCGATCTGTAAAGTAAAATTTTGAGAACTTGATGGCGCCGACCATCTAGGCCACAACATGGCTCTGTCTATGATTATCGAGGATGTGTGGTTGCAAACAAAATCAAACCAATTATGGTAAATATAGAACACATAAATGTGGATAGATCTTTTTTTTAAATCTAGTTGTCTGTTATTCTTACGGCGGTCGTATCGTTATTCAATACTATTCTAGAGCTTATAAAGCTTGTAAGTTGTTGGCATTGTACATTTTACATGACTATGGTTCAATCATATAATTCTACCCTTCATGTTTAATAGTAAGTAGCTAGTTGTCTCAATTGTTACCCTAATGTTCCTTTGAGTTGCCTATTGGTCACTCATATGCATGGATTATGGTACTTGAATAATGTCACCAACATTGATAATATAAGCATCACGAATAGGTTTGACCCGAATCCATTCTCCATCTGTTTTTCGCTTCACTTCGAGTCCTCCAACATCGTCTTGAGCGAGGATCGCCAGGGCACCAGAATCCTTGTGGCGGCCAATCCCAAGAGCTAGGTGAGGAATGGAACAAGGTGGATAGTGGTTGAGCCGCATGTAGCTAGTTTGGTCTTTGAAGAATCCATTCAGACGATTAGCCAGCAGACCTTAGCTCAGAGAGATTAGTTCCATCAACTTGTAAGCTAGTTTTTGCCCTTCTTGAGCATAGTGTTCACATTCTTCTCTGGAAGACCAAGATCTACTAGTAAGTAAATAGGGAAAAAATGAAAGCGGTACAATTTTTAAGACTTATTTGAATAAAAGTTTATTTAGAAAAATATTTTGAATAAAAGTTCATTTTGAAGCAAAATAACTGAAGTACCCTCAAAGCAGACTTACTAATGCATCAAACTCTCTCTCACTTTCTCTATTTTCTCTCACTATTACTCTCTCTCGAGTAAATATTGAATGCAATGGGGATACTATGTCAGTAATGTTGACATGATATCACCAACTAACAATAAAATACCAAGTGGGCACGGTGAACCCCACTAGAGTAGTTATTTGCTTACATAGAGGAAGAATGAATAATTATTTACTTACATGGAGGGTTGATTATTAATTTTAATGGGATCCATTGCCATTTAATCATTCTCTCTTACTCTCACTCTCTCTCCCTATTCTCTCTAACAATTACTCTCTCTCCCTATATATTCTCTCTCAAACTCTTTCTCTCTCTTGCATAATCAAGACAGCATTACTCTCTCTCTATCCATATATTTTTATTTCTCTTTCTCCCCTTATTTTCTCTCTCCATTAAAGAAATACAAAAATGTGGCAAACCATCCCGAAAATGACGATCGAGGAAGGAGGGAGGCGACCCAAGAGCAGCAAAGCCTTGAGAAAGAGGTCACCAAATTAGAATAGCTACACACATGCTTTGGTGAGGAAGCTAGCCTATTTTATATTCAAGCGAGATTCAATTTACTATCTTGTGTTAAAGCAAGATTCACTTTGCACATGTTAGTCTCGTACTGATTAATGATTAATGATTCGTCAAGAAGAGAATTTAAAAAAAAAATGTATTTCTTTTACTACTCGAACAAAAATAATTCAAAAAATTACCTCAATTCTAGTGGATTATCGGGCTACTGATTAAAATACTCTCTCAGCTCCTTATCATCATGCTTATGAGAAGCAGGAAACAGTGTTGGATTCTGTATTGTAAGATCAAACACCTCTTTCCAGTCTCTAACATTCTTGGTATGCTCAGTATCATAATAGCCCAATGGGTTCACTTCATCTCTCCTCACCTTTTTCTTCTCATCCTTCGACAGTGCGAAGAACTTCCTCGCTGCGATCTCAAGGTTTTTTCGGCGTTCTAATGGCACCCCATGGTTGATCACTTGGAAGAAACCCCAATTCTTGTAGGCCTCAACTATCTCAAATATAAGAGGTCTTATGGCTGCGACATCGGGCTCCGATGAGTTGGGGGAGTTTAGAACAAAGAGATCGATCAGTGGAATGTCCTCTGCTTCGACAACGACGAGTTTTGGACAGTGCTCGGTGGCTTGGATGAAGGCTGTGTCTACTTCTCCCATGGTTGTAGGGTGAGTGGTGGGTGACACATGGGAAGCAATTTAAGTTGTGACAAAAAACCGTCAATGTTATTGTGTATATAAATACACACATATATGAGGGGTGGGTGGTGGAGTGGGTGGGAGTTATCATATACATTGACCCCGGACGCATGTAATCCTATGTTTGAACCTTCTAAGTCCATGGCAAAAACCCTTGTAGGTTGTAATTAAGCTTAATAATCCATGACTAAGGTATGATACAACATAAATTTCGAACGTTTAGAAATTCGATTCCAATTTATGAAANTCAACCTTCTGAGTCCATGACAAAAAACCTTGTAGGTTGTAATTAAGTTTAATAATCCATGACTAAGGTATGATACAACATAAATTTCAAATGTTTAGAAAATCAATTCCAATTTATGAAATAGTAATTTTTCTTTCTTTTTTTTAATTACATAATTTAATTGATGTCAACTCATTTTTCTAAAAAAAAAATTGTCAATTTTTTTTTTTCAAAAAAAAATAAAATTAAGATGTGTATAATATCATATATGAATAATAATTGAAATAAAAATTATATTGAGTCATAAATTAATTAAAAAATTTTAAGTTGTGATAAAAATAAGTGAAAAAAATATATAAAGATAAAATTCAATTTTTTATATATTATATTGATGTCATAGTTGTGTATGCACTTGCTTGAAAGGATTTGCCGGGAAAAAAAGGANTGAACCTTCTGAGTCCATGACAAAAAACCTTGTAGGTTGTAATTAAGCTTAATAATCCATGACTAAGGTATGATACAACATAAATTTCAAACGTTTAGAAAATCAATTCCAATTTATGAAATAGTAATTTTTCTTTCTTTTTTTTAATTACATAATTTAATTGATGTCAACTCATTTTTCTAAAAAAAAAATTGTCAATTTTGTTTTTCAAAAAAAAAAAAATTAAGATGTGTATAATATCATATATGAATAATAATTGAAATAAAATTTATATTGAGTCATAAATTAATTAAAAAATTTTAAGTTGTGATAAAAATAAGTGAAAAAAATATATAAAGATAAAATTCAATTTTTTATATATTATATTGATGTCATAGTTGTGTATGCACTTGCTTGAAAGGATTTGCCGGGAAAAAAAGGAGACTAACCTAGGCACGACTAGTTTTCTTTTTGGAAAATGCTATTTATATTTAATTTAGTGATTTTATTTGATGACATGATTATAACCATTGAATTGATAGTGGGTTCCAACTAATAGTGGGATCTATTGTCAATCTAATGACAGAGAATGATAAGGTCATCAAATAAAGTCATTAAATAAAATCCATGTAGCATTACTCGTTCTTTTTTGGTATTATATCTCAAGCTGAAAAAAAGTGTTTNCCTAGGCACGACTAGTTTTCTTTTTGGGAAATGCTATTTATATTTAATTTAGTGATTTTATTTGATGACATGATTATAACCATTGAATTGATAGTGGGTTCCAACTAATAGTGGGATCTATTGTCAATCTAATGACAGAGAATGATAAGGTCATCAAATAAAGTCATTAAATAAAATCCATGTAGCATTACTCGTTCTTTTTTGGTATTATATCTCAAGCTGAAAAAAAGTGTTTGTATCATACCATCATTATAAAATTTGTGAACTTTTTTACAATTTTTTAAGTTTATTTATAATTTTGTGAGGACTTAAGATGGATCGTAAGGTACTATAAAAAGTTNCGATGTAGCATTACTCGTTCTTTTTTGGTATTATATCTCAAGCTGAAAAAAAGTGTTTGTATCATACTGTCATTATAAAATTTGTGAACTTTTTTACAATTTTTTATGTTTATTTATAATTTTGTGAGGACTTAAGATGGATCGTAAGGTACTATAAAAAGTTGTCAAAAAAAATTATAACTTAAACTTTAAAAATTGTAAGATCCCCAAAAATTGTAAATTTTTTTTATGGTAAACAAACCAAGCAAATTGTATCAAAACCTACAAAACTTATAAANTGTAAGATCCCCAGAAATTGTAAAATTTTTTTATGGTAAACAAACCAAGCAAATTGTATCAAAACCTACAAAACTTATAAAACTTGGAGATACAATACAAAATTCTTTTTTTTTCAAGTATAGTAGTCTTCTCCCCGAATACAAAACGCTCTATGTGGTGAAGTGAACAACTAGGTGTGAATATCTTATAAGGAGTGGTAAAATATGCATCAAACCTAGGCACATTTGTTACTATGTTTCAACTTTGATGCTTATTAATCAGCTTTGACACATCAACCACCATATCATTTGGTCTCTTATTTTGGTCCTTTTATTTGGTCAATGTAGCATTATTCTTATTAAAATTATTTACGGATTCTTGTAGTGAATGAGACAGCAAAAAATCAACGGGAAATCAAAGATGAAGACTACAAGTAAATTTTGAAGAGGAAGCTAGAGAACATGTGAATCAAACTATTTCATGTAATAATACTTATGGAATACTGATAATACTAAGAATAAAAAAGATAACTTTGCTCAACAGCAGAAGTAGACAAGTCANAATTTTGAAGAGGAAGCTAGAGAACATGTGAATCAAACTATTTCGTGTAATAATACTTATGGAATACTGATAATACTAAGAATAAAAAAGATAACTTTGCTCAACAGCAGAAGTAGACAAGTCAGCTCAACTCAGACACAAGTTGGGATCAAGTAAACAATTTTGCAAACAATTTCGGTTAAACTAAAATAACTTGGGCCACAAGAGGAAGAGNAACTCAACTCATACACAAGTTGGGATCAAGTAAGCAATTTTGCAAACAATTTCGGTTAAACTAAAATAACTTGGGCCACAAGAGGAAGAGGGATGAAGAGTGCTGCCATCTCTAGATCTCATCTAAGAATAAAATTTCTAGAAAGCCACGTCATACCTAGAGAATGTAGTCTACGGTCCAATATTTCCTCTGATATTCTAACAAATTGAGGGACCTTGATAACTTGAGGACCACTCTACTAAGACAATATAAATAGGAAAATCTTAGCTTGAAAAAGGCAGATGATGGTAATTGTCTTCTTCCTCAAAAAACAATAGAAATCTCTGGAGCAAGTTGAACATGGCCTCCGTCAGAAGCAGAGGCAAAAATAAAATTAAATGTCATAATTGAATCAAATCGCATTGTTTTGTATGTCGATGGTGTTATTTTAATTTTTTATTTAATAATAGTTGACTTTTATCTAATCGTTTATCATTCATTAAAGATGCCCTGATTCTAACCAAACTTTTTCAACAATCGTGTTGTGTTTGGATTGATCAACTCAACTCATGAAATAGAAATCTATGAATATTGCTCCCATCTTTTTTCTAGCAAACTTGTCACTAACAAACCTCCTATAAACCAAAATATTCCACAATCCACCATATCAAAGAAAGAAAAACATGAAAGAAATTCACAATTTCCTATACTGAATACTAGCTGAAATGGTTTGTCGTGTAAAAATTGAGTTATTCGTGCTTGAAATTAATCTACCTCATTTATTATTTGC